CCGGCAAGCTTTGCTGAGAACCAGTTGATGCAGTCGCCAACGTTCCTGAAGCAGGGACAAGGGCACCTCCACCTGAGGCGTCTCCAGTTGTCCGTTCCATGGCTTTAGAGACTACGGCTGATAACCTGTATTTTCAGGTTTCAGCTGGGGTTAACCTAGTTATACCCAAGTAGACTGATAAACCTAGAAGACTACACAAAACACCGTTAAGCTAGCAGCTAAACCCTTTTTGGACTGAGCCGCATTGCTGTCGTACGCATATCTATGATACATGGGTTTTATAGTGGAGTGAAAATACAGTTTCTTTCTTTTACTCGCGGGCCGTTGTCTTAGCGGTCCAAATTCTATTCCTTAGCTTTGCTCACTAGCAAAATGTCAAATCAAGAGCATAATTGGTATGCTACCGTATATACTCAAGATATGCTTTATACTTTATAATTTGCTGTTCATTCTTCCTTTCCCTGGACCCGAAAAAGTCGAAAGGTACGCCGCAACTGGCCTGCTGCACATTGACCAGATGGTCCGTCATAATCTTTACTCTTGCTCCATCTCTTTCTATTTGTTCCTGCAAATTCACAGTGTAATGGTCTTGAAACACAACGGCTCAAAAGCTCAAAACGACCTGTTTCTTGCAGAATCTGTTTCGGGAGATCAGCCTCGATGGACTCCACTTGGGCTTGCTTCTGCTTGATCTGGCGGGCTCCACAAATCAGCGAAGGTTGGAGGTGAGACCATACATTTATACATTTGCCATGTGCATCATGTGCATCAGGTGCATTCAGTTGTGATTTTTGTTGCACATCGTCACATCCCTGAAGGTCACTCAGGTGATGTCAGGTAATCATAATCATCCGCCTCTGCATCAAGCTTCTTGTTTTCCTGGCACGGGAGAGGCCAATGCGGCCAAGCCCCCGTCCAATGGTCCAATGACGGGCACATCTGCCTCCGAGGCATAGGGAGGCAAGGAGTCGCCAATGTCCAAGTTCTCGGTGTCCTGAACAAGAGCCAATGATATCCAAAGATCGATTAGCAGCAAGCAAGGACACAGTTACCATCGAATTTGTTTGTCATACATGTATATATATATATACATAATATAGTCCATGATGATCTATATTATATACCCTGGTCATCTTGCGTTTTGGTTGAAAAACGGCCACAAGTTCAATTAAATTCATCAGGCTGAGGGCTCGACAGTCATTGAACCTGCCAAACTTGCTGCGGCTAAAATCGGGGCTTTCTATTCACACATGCGACCGTCTCGGGGTCCCAGCCTGTGCCACAGAAAATCTCAAAAACTACGGGGGTCCCATCTTCTGCAATCTTGATCCACCGGCCAAGGCCAAGACATGGAATTTGAACTTCCGCTGATTTGTGGAATCTGGAAGCTGCTCGCAACGCCAATGGGGAACAGTGCAGCCGCGTGGTTACAGAGAGGGAGCTGTTACAAGCGAAGGAAGATAAATGAAGTTATATAGCTATGTAGATTTCTGAGTTTCGCAACGCACAAACCATGAAATGAAAGCTCAAAACATCCCACAATCTAACCATCAAGTATGGGCTGGATGGTCCTGAAACAGATGTAATCCCTTTTCGAACAACGCATCTGGTGCTGATGCCAATTAATGTAACTTCTGGGCACTCTGCAGTTCTGCAGAGTCAATGCCCATCCAGCGGTCTTGGATGTCTTGAACCCCACAAAAGAATTCATTTGCGCACGAAAGACATTTGTCACATTCCTAAACAGCACGCTTTGTGACTCTGCGTATTCTCAGGGAAAGCGCCATGCAGTAGACATGCATCCAAGACAAGCCACTGTACTACGCAAATGTTGAGATAGCTCTCCACCGGCGAAAATCGCTGATGCCCTTTCTTGCTCACAAAACTTTGAACATCCAGATGTGCTCAATCTTTGATCGGAGAAGGCAATCTCCTTTTTCTCCCTGAAACATTTCATGTTTTCTCGACACTTCGAACCAGGGCACCAGGTGCACGGGACGAATGGATTGGCAACCAGGTTGCCCCACCACCCGATTAAAGTTCAGAACGCTTGCCGTCTCCATTTGGAGACAGCATTCTCTGAAAGTCTGATGACTGCCTGTTGATCAGAGAATTAATCCTTTCTCCACCGATGTGTGACAAAGAAATAAATACAGCCAATACCAATCTAGGCTTTCTGAGGGTGCGATCATGGACCCCAAATAGCAAATGAAATTTGAAAGCTTTGTTCAAAAGTTTTCCCAAACGGTTGGGTACTATTCGGATGGGCTCACAATGCTGGGGAACACTTGATCTGGCAAATTTCCTGTGACATATAATCTGATATGTATTCTGACACATATTCTAACATTGGTTCGGACATGCCCTCTTTCGAATTTCATGTGACATGTATTCTGGCAGTTAATTCTGACGTTTGCTCTCGCAAATTTCATGTGACATGTATTCTAGCATCAAAACTTACACTTAGCATGACATATTTTTGACATGTGTTAATGTGTTGTGACCTTTGTCCTGACATATATTCTAACATATCTTCTATCGCTTGCTATGATGCTGAACTCGAGGATGACACAGAGCATCCGCGAGCTATCTTATGAGGTCAGGGAAGACACAGAGACTCCAGCAACTCGCTATAGTGATGAGGTCCGGGATGACACGGAGAGTCGGGGAGCTTGATATGAGGAGGGACAAGGAGAGGAAGAGGAAGCGGGGGGAAGGTGGAGCCGCAAAATCTAGTGGGAAACAACACCAGACCCATACCAAACTTCGGGCGACCATGCACATAATGGGAACCGGCAGCCCCTCTCGACAAGCTGGAAATGCGCTGGACAGAGCCCAGTCAGACTGGGGCCTGCCATGCTGAAAAACGATGTTGGGAGGCAAGAGACAAGGAAAGCAAACAAGAGCACAGCAGGGGTGCCATCTGAGGATCCTCACTTTATTTCAAGTGATTTCTCTGCAGACTCAGAGTTGGAAGGCCAAGCAGACAAGCAAACCCAGCAACCCCAGATGCACAAGTGCAACGGACTTACATGAGATCTGGTGCCCAGAACGTCCCCACTTAAAACTAAAACGCCAGGGAGAGTGACTCATACAAACGGTCCAAGGATCACTTAGGACGACTTTCTGGATCACTTAGGCCGACAGTCTTGGCTGTGGATTCAAACCTTTAGGGTGTATATTTGGGGACAACTAGAGATACAGGAGACGACCAAAAACATATCGGAGGCGACCTAACTCATATTTGAGTCCGTTGGCTACACACCTTTACGGTTTATCTTAATGGGGGGACCGGGGACTGGGGACAGGTGGAACAACTAGGCACAGACGACCTAAATCATATTGGAGCTACACACCTTTAGGGTTTATATTGGGGTGGAACTGGGGACTGGGGTGAGGTCGAAATCATGTTTGGATATATCGATATATGATGATATATGATATATGATATATCTTGTGTACCGCCCATTCGCTGTATCAGTGGGCACCAGAAGGGCACCAGAAAAAGCACGAGAAAAAGTGGAAAAAAACGAGGTTCCATTTCCAAGAAGACCGTGGTGATTTAACGCACAAATCTTAAAGACTGACGCAATGACAAACTCAATAAATCAACCCATCAAAAAAACTTTGGCAACCCACACAAGAAATAGCAAACCACACAAAAAACACCAGAAAAAACACGAACAACAACAGCACAAGCAACCCCCCAAAAAAAAGCACGCGAAAAGGCACGAGCAAAAGAGAAAAAAACACCAGAAAAAACAGAAAAAACAATCACGAGGAAAAGCACCAGAAAAAGCACGAGAAAGAGCACCAGAAAAAGCACCAGAAAAAGCATGAGAAAAAGTACGAGAAAAAGCACAAGAAAAAACACGAGAAAAATCCAGAAACTAAAAAGAAAAAACACAAAAATTGTGATTTGCTGGTGTTTTTTCCGGTGCTTTTGTTATATATATATATATATTTTTTGATAGGCGGGCAGCAAAAAGTACCAGAAGAAGCACGAGGAAAACAGAAAAAACAACGCATTCAAACCAAAGAGGCCGTGAAATGATTGTTTCTCTTTGTGCATATATTTCCGCGCGTCAAAAATATTGAACCTCGAGATTTGGATTTGCGGGCCTGGGGATTAAAATTAAGTTTAGGATTTAGGATTTAGGGTTTAGGAACAGAACATCAAGCGTGGTGAGACATGAAGAACACCTCCAAGAAAATTGTTTCCAACACACAAGCGCGCGTCAGGCTGCCGACCGAAAACGAAGCCCCAACGGGAGAAGGTATGAGACTGTCAGGCTATCGGACGAAAAATGCATTTTTCTCCATAAGCAATCTTCGCAAACCAAAAAGCATTGCAGTGACATCCAGAAATTCATTGGTGTGGACAGTGCTACACATAAAATACAACATGGGATCCAAAAGGGAAGATCCAAAATGTTGCAAACCCAGAATCAAGTACACAATTTGAATCAACGCTTTCCAAAAAATCCTTGGAATTGAGAATATTGGCAACCAAGAAAACCTGATTTGCTTGTGCTCCACCAGTTTCTTTTTAAGCAAGGAAACCCGTTACTGGCTGTTACAGGCGTTGGGTGGCACTCAAGATATATCTTTCTATTGCAAATATAACCATGTATATATCTGTGACGTAGGCCTAAGCGAGCCAAAACGTAGGCCTAAGCGAGGCACTGACCCATACAGACCTGCCACTCAGGATTAAATACACCACAAGATATCACTGATATCAGCACAAGGCATGCTGGTGATACCACCATCTCATGCGAGAATTCCTAGGGTAATGAAACAAGAAACTCCCGTGACACCAAACACTGCTTACAATTCTGAAAATGATTGCTCTTCGAACTCCAAGAGTAGGATGACCGTCTGCAAAGAACTAGGTGAAGTAAGTGAAGTAGGTGAGCTACCCTACTTCAACCTCAACTAAACCTGTATAACAAAAATTAACAAAACCCAGTGGACCAATGACCTGCGACCTGCGTGTTTCAGTCATCAGATGGAAGGATCTTCGCGATGTTGTCACTTCTCGTCGCACTGGCAATCCTTGTCAAATGTCGGTCTGGATCCCTGCGGCAGAACTGGGCTGTCAGCAAAGCTGAATTCTATGCTGGAAACTATATAGGAACTCACCAGCTGAAAATTCAGTCTCTCAAGGGTCTATCTCCATTCATCCACGTGTTTATGTTATTCTTGCACCAACCCAGAAAAGCATGTGAAAATGCCCAACATTTAGGACAAAAGGCCCTTCGTCGTGCAGAAGAGCTGGATTCAAAGGCATGTCGGTGACATCCGGCACAGGCATGCGGTTGACAGCGTTGACGAAAGAGCGAGCATAAACCACCGCAGTCGCCTGGGAAAATGCAAGTTGCTCAGAGAGTTTTTCCTCTGGCCAGCCATGTACCCCATCATTGTGGAAGTGGAAGATCCATGATTTTGAAAGCAAAAACCCACGTTTCAGCAGCTTCGCAGCTTCTATGCGTTGGCGCGGGCCCCGTTTACCCCTGCATTGTGTTTCAGGCACCACACATGGAAAAGTAATATGTAAAAAGAAAATGAAACAACTCAGAACAACTTCAGGCCCAGGTCACGAGAATCTCCGAAAAGTCCTGAAGCACGTTGCGCAACTCCTTCCTCGAGAGTTTCACCGCCCTGCTCTCCACGGTCACCTCGAACAGGCCCCGATGTTTCCAGCCCCGGATCCACAAGGCCTGCTCACTGAGACATTCTTCGGCATAGATGTTGACCAAAGAGACAGCATTGGCCTGGGAAAAGGCTGGGAAATTCGCAACTGGCCAAATTCTGACCAGATGCGTTAGGACACTCATGCATAGGCATATGAATGTCCCGTTTCACATGTTTCACAATCTATTTGATTGCTAGCACGACATTGTCATCACAGAGGTCAACACATGAATATGGTGGGCATGCCCAGCGTTTCAGCTGGAAGTAGTTCGCTGCATCCCCAATAGAGGTTTTGGAAAATGGGTATACCCCTGCAAATGAGATGACGTAAAATGACCCCCTTTTATGGTTGGCTAATGGGATGGCGACTATGGCATTGGGTAAACACCGCAGTATGATGTCCAGCCAGTTTTCTGCTCCCCTTGGACTTTCCTTCTTTGATTCTCACTACAAATGTGGAGATAGTGAGCATTCACCGGTCCCTGCCGCCGTTGTTGCTCTTCTGCATATGGTGACCCAAACTTGCCACCACTCTCGATGCTCCGCTACAAATGGGGTGGGGTGGGGATGCCCAGGTTGATAGATTGCCTGAACACTGTGGGACAGGCGGGAGTTTAAGATGGACTGCATCCTGCCTAGGTTTTGACTGCTACGCCCCCTAGGTGCTTCAGGATGTTGTTTGGAGGTGGGTGAACCGGAATGCTGATTAAGGTTATTGGGTCGATCAAAGAATACTTGAGGCCAAAGGGAAGGAGACCAAAGCTAGTTGGGCAAGGAGAGATGTGTATTGAGAGAATATGTGGCGCGACCTTTTTAGTTGCAATTTTTGAATCTAAAATTGGCAGAAAAGGCCGCTCCAAATCCGTTCTCCACTGCACAAATAACCCAGTCTTAGAATCCGGTAACTTAGGTACATACATCCATCGAGCAAGAAGTGCTTGGGGAACCTTAAGATGCGCATCTTCCATTCCTCACCAAGAGTGGGTCATGTTTTCATGCAGATGTCTTGAGGAAAAGAAGTGCAAGATTCCAAGTGGTTGTTCTTTCATTACATTACAGTACAGTACATTCCCTTACATTACATCACATCATATAGATTGGATTACATTAGATTGGATTCGATTGCATTGCATTAAATTACATTGCATTGCATTCACAAACCTCACGGTGAATATTGTCTTATAGATGTCTAGTGTGTGCGTGGGCATGCGATCGCCATCGATCGCCTGGTCGCAGATGAAACCCAGCGGGATGGGCGCTTTGAGCCCACGGGTGGGGGGGAATGATTCGACATGATTAATCATGCCCAACATCGGGGCCCCAAAACCAGTTCGGCATGATAAATCATGAAAGCTGCATCCAGTCTGCCACCAATTCATTGCTAAAGCAAATCCAACTCCGCTACCAAGCTAGCTTTTGTGACAAAGACAGGGAGACAGACAGATATGTACAGAGAGACAACAACACCATCGTGATCAGTAGTTACATATGGATTGGCGGACAGGCACGTCGGGAGATTGCTGGATACCTTTAAGCATAGATAGGAGGACACGGAGAGATGCGTTCGTCTTTGGATATTAAAGAAAAATAAGTAAAACATTCAGATATCTAGATATAGAAATAGCGATGCAAATGTACACGTACTTACTTTTCGTTCAGTTGCAGATAGACATTGATGTGTTCATGGCAAGTCGCTGATTACATACATTACACTACACTATACTACACTACATTACATTACATTAGACTACACTACACTACATTACACTACACTACACTGCATACATACATTAGATACATTAGATTACATTCCATTGCATTACACTACATTACACTACACTAGATACATACATTACATACATTACATTACATTACATTGCATTCCATTGCATTGCATTGCATTCCATTACATTACATTACATTACATGCATACATACATACATACATTGTATGAACATACATTACATACATTGTATGAACATACATTGCATACATTACATACATTACATACATTACATACATTACGTTACGTTACATTACATTACATTGCATTAATTACATATGTACATTGATTACATACATACACTAATTACAGACATACATGAATTACATACATACATTAATTACATACATACAGTACATTACATAAATAATATTAATTACATAAATACATTAATTACATACATTACATTACATTACATTATGTGACGTGACCTGACGTCACGTGACGTGATGTGAAGTGACGTTACATTACATTACATACATAAATATGTATATATATATATATTATATTCATATATTTTATATATATTCATGTGTTCTACATACAAATGATGTTCATGATGTAGAGATAGATACAGAGCAAAACAAAGACTTGCAACACGTCACGTTACCCTCCCTCTATCCCTGCCTTTCCGGAGCCCATGGACGATCTCTGATCCATCTCATCTTCGTTGTCAATGCGCTCAGAATTTCGGCTTGGTCCATTTCCGAGAATGGACATCATAAGATTGCTGAGCGAATGCCCTCAGTTGCCCAGAAACTGAGGTTTTTGAGCAACGGGGGTACTTTACCAAAAAAATTGCCTTTAAATGCCACCCAGGTGTCTACGTCTACTTCCATGTGCGGGCTGTGAGCTTGCATCCTGCGTTGTATACAAACCAGCGCCAGATGCCAAGATGTATATCCCCTCGGCCTTTTGCTGCCGAAGGAAAACAGAATCATTCCTCAGCTAGTGCAGGATGCCTTTAAAGCAGCTGCATAGTGACCGATATATTTATATATTTCTGTCCTCCTTGGTTATTCTGTTGGTTAATTTCCAGCACCAAAGTATGGAAATGTACTTTCCTTCAGCAAAGCTTCTCCAACAAGTAGAGCTCTTGAACGGCCTGGTTGCACAAATTCAATTCCATTGTTCTGTTCACATTGCCGATCTCCATGAAGAAGGGGTGGTGGCCAAGGTCAAACTTCGTGCCTCGTGGAACAGTTCGCGGACCAAGCCTTCCGGTAAAGACAGAAGAAACTGCATATGGTCCTCAGCGAAACAGCATGGAAACAGAATGCAAAAGTCTCCAATCAAATCAATCAAAGAACAGCTGGAATTAATTTCTATGGCATGGTGTGGTATTCTGTGGTATTTTGGTATGGTGGTGTGGTGCAGTACAGTATGTACTGTATGCAAATCTATCTGTCTATGTGCACATCCGTTTGCGTGTCTTGCATCTGTATGGATATTTGCACGCATGCTTTTTGTGTGTGTGTGCAGCTGCATGTAGATAATAGTCAAGCATTTGTATAAATGTTTTCTATTAATCCTCCAACCAGGACGACAACCCAGCTTGTCACAACCCAAAACGGTCCTGTATGGTTGCTCGAAAATGTTCACGCTCCACCAGTTTTCCTCAGTTAAGACACCCGGTGGAGCAATCTCTTCCAACTGAGGCCGGCTTCAGAACAGCTGAATTGGGGAACCAAGTTTCTGATCTTCATCGCATGTTTCATTGACACACCGCAGGTGCCGCAATACTTTCTGACCTTGGTTTATTTCAAGCGAAATAAAAAAAACGGATGATACAACTGAAGCAACAAGACTGAGGACTTAAGATGCCTCAGTTATCATCCCATTATCTTTCACTGGAGCAACAAGTTATCCACAACACTTTACAACTGGGACAAGTTTTTCGAAAGGTTTTCGGGTCACGGAATCCAGCATCTGCGTCATCTTGCGGGTCCTCCTCGCTACATCTGCCATGATGTTGGTCAAAACTGACACGAAGAGAGAGGAGACGCAGAGCGCTACAAAGGTTGCCTGGAGGGAGCTGTCGCACCAGCAAAATCATACATATGTATAATACTGTGTATATATATATATATGCATACGTATATTATACATCTACATGTACGAATCGATGGATGGATGGATGGATGGATGGATGGATGGATGCATGAATGGATGAATGGATGCTGGATGGATGGACGGATGGACGGATGGATGGATGTGTAACATATTATGATACTAAGTCATATTTATATACATGTATGTCCCATGGTTCCCTGGGATTGCCATCATCCGTGGTGAATGAACTTCAGAATCCTCAGTCCAAGGGTCAATGATGGCCAGGTATCGTTCAAAGGCAGTCTTTAGCTCCACATTGGCTCTCAATGATGAAGCAGGGAGCCTGCACATGAAGCAGGGTCTATCAAAATATTCAAAATGACAGGGGCTTCAGCTTTCGAACGTCCCACCGTGTCCCACCTGGACACAGCCCACTCAACGCTTCGCATATATTGCTGAGCAAAGGAAGTCTGTGTTAAACCTTCCTCTCTGGCCCATCCACCATCCACATCTCCAGCGACAAACCACAAAGCTGCCTCAGCTAAAACAAGAACCACTCAGCCACAGCTGACTTTTAACCATCTTCTAGAAACTATGTCAACTTTGAGTAGTCCAACATGGTTTGCACCGCAAAACCTTCTGCTGCATTAATATCAACTGCCAAGTAACAAGGAAGTGAACTGATACCATGACGCCCATCAGCAAAGTAAATATGGATATCAAAGCGGATGACACCCAGCCCTGCAAGAACATCCTGCATGGCACTCACAACGCTACCAATGGGCAGTACTGTCACAGCTGCCTGGGGATTAAGAAAAAATGGTCAAAAACCTTAGCGTCATCTATTCAACTATGATTGGTTTGTCACTGCGCCATTGAAATGACACTAATACACTAACACTACCAACACTTCAATATATTTCCATACGTTTAAATCTTCATCACTCCGATTTCTGCCAACGGCAGAGTTCTGGCCGTGTCCCTAGCTTAGCATCAAGTGCCAACGCAATGCCGCAATGCGACGGTGTAAAATCAAGTGTACCCGCGATCGGAGCAGTGGAACATTGAAAATGTGTACGACAATGACAATGGGCATCTATGGCCATCGATGGCCTGTATTCCAACTACAGCCAATCTATGTAGTCCAACAGAGTTTGTGACTGGATCCCAGTTGAGCTGTTGAGAAGTCTAATTTTGCGGCTTGTGATGGTTGTTGCTCATTGCTGATTGCTCAGAACCATTTGATACTGTTTGAATCTGTTCGATGTTTTTCCACGTTTTTTCCATGTTTTTCGAACGTGTCCTGAAGAATTTGTAGAAGCTGAACTTCTTCAGTAGCGTCATGACCTTGCGAAATCTCATCACGCGTGCAAAGCGGATGAGCCGCACCAGGCGCCTCGCTCGCAAGGCGCGCAAGACCCCTGAGGCTGCTGGATCCGATTCACCGTCATCGCTGTCGCTCATAAAGAGATTCACAAAGAATAGAATTTCGGGAGCTAACATCAACATGTCGAACCTTGGTCGACTCAACACAATGGCGAAACTGGAGCCATAGCCAAATCGTGAAGGAATGTAGAGCCTGAAGTTTGAATCTCTTAATTGAAAAAGCATGCAAACTTGATTTGAGACCATTGAATGTCTGCGTTATCCTTATTAGGTAGCTGTGACCAAGACACCAAAACCAAAACTTGATATAAACCTTTGCAACATCGATCAAACGCGAGTGGAGAATGTCATGGATGTAGACTGCTGTCAGGAAGGACATTGGCACGTCCAAGAGCCAGTACCCCGTTGTGGTCCAGTGCATCACATCCGCCACTTCTCTGAAAACCCCGTCGACATTGTAGACTTGTAACGGGGCAGTTAGCACCTGGATCTGACAAGTATAGGAAACATGGGGGTTGTTTAAAAAAAAAAAAACGCTGTTGCCCTTGTTTGTCGTGACCAGGAAAATGAGGATAAACCAATGGATTTCTTGGTTTGAACGGATTTATGAGCCGCAGAAAGTATTTGCTACATGACATCCAGATGTTTCGCCCAGCCCGATTCTCCAACCTCGATACACAGTGCCACCATGGCCAAGCAATCCCAAACGATACGCTTCCGTGATTCCGGGTGCATGGCACATCCAGCAGATGCCAAACCTGTGGAGGAAGCTCTAGTGGTGCGACTCTGTACTGAGTTTGTTCGTGCAGATGGCGCTGGAGATGACACCGTCAGTCGATTTTTCTCCAGGTCATACAGGGTCTGGTCTGAGATATTCAATTCTGCACCAATTTGAAATCTAAAGTCACTTCTGCTGAGGAGAGTTTCCTCAAACTGCGTGGTTGTCTTTCGTGCCTGTCATGGCATTCAGGGAGTTAGGAATGTGGGGGACAAAAGCAGTCAACCGACTGGAAGTTCTGTCACAACCCTTAGAGGTTCCTTAAAGCATCCTGGGGCAGGGTCCAGTTTTAAATTCTTAATGTAGCACTTGAGATCCTGTCAAGGCAAGATTCCGTTGAAAAGCGCAATATCGCGTCCACTCGATTCACTAGATATTGATCTCAAATTTCCATATTTTTCACAAAGACTTGATCTTACATGTATGTTGCTGCTATCACTGCAGCTGTGCTGAGGAACTTGTTCGTGGTCTTCACGCAACATGACAACATAGGCCTTTTCAAGACAAAATCGATATGTGGGAATATGTGGGGTGTCTTGAATCAGTTGAATCATTCAATTTCTCTGAAATGGCTTTACAAGAATGCCATTTATGCCATTTAGAGATCTCCAAGAAAACTGACTGCAGACAGGTCACTGACTTTGCCATGGACCACATTGCTTTATTCGAAGACACTTTGGTCACGACAGGTTCCTCGTCATCCACATCGAACTGCATCGAGGCGGCTTGCGTCACCTGATCTGACAACAAGGTCGCTGGTAGAAATGGCATTGCCGACATCAGCAGTATGTATGTGGGGGAAACGTCAGTAGAAATGTCCAAAACACCTGAATTCTTTGGAAAAACATTGAAGATCATTGAAGAACTGCCTACAATGTGTTTCAATGTTTCTCAATGTTTCTTGATGGATCATACCAGTGCCATGCCTTGGGAACATCGTTCTCAATCTCATCTTTCACTGATTTCCTCAGAGGTTTCAGCCTCAAAGTAGTTGATGGCGATAGTACTCTGGACCTGAGACCACAACGCTGACTGTTTCAAGGTTTCAACGCCGTCCCATGGGCGTCAAGTCCAACCTACCTTCTGCGAATGACTAACATACCTATGGCAGCTCTGGAAAATGGCCCATAGAAATAGTTGATTTACGTTGATTTACCGAACTTTTGATTTACAGTCAAAGATGGTGATTTTCCAGTTCGCTATGTCATTACCAGAGGGTCGATTAAACCACCACCTGTGGTGCTGTCATCTCGCAACCTGCCTGGAGCGGTCCCCAATATCTTGCTTGTAGACCTCTTTGAGTCGCAACTGCAACTCCTGCAACTCACGTTGAAACGTCGGCCCACGTTGAAACGCCTAACCCAAGGAACCTCCCAGATGAGTGAATTTTCTTGGGTTCGAATCATAGCCAATTTCTGGCTCATTATGTTCATTTGAATGTGCATCATGTCACCATGTCACAAATCAAGTGCATCTTGCCTGGATCTGTTTCAGGATTTCCACGAAACTGCCAGGTGCTGAGGAACAACCATCTGAACTTAGTCGCGAGACGTGACTCAGGCGGTGAGAAACCTGCGGCTCCGCAGGCGAGGACAATGGAGGAGGCTCTCCATCTGGAAGCATCGGCGCTCCATCCATCGCATCTGCATCCATCACCACTGGATCAACAAACGTCTGCGGGGTGGCATTAAAATCATTACCGAACACCCATGACAACTCCACAAAATCATGGGTGTGAAATGCATGGAATTCTGGCAAGAAATGGCCTGATCAACACAACGTTTGAAACTTTGTCAACAAATTTATGCACGTGTTTGAAACAAAAAATGGTCAATAAATTTCATGCAACAACAGCTGGCACCATCTCGCAACCATTTTGATCCGGACTGCGTTTCAACAATGCAATTGACGTTCTGCCACAAACCTTCGGGCAAATGGCAGAACGTCAATGACCAAAACCATTGGAAATCAATTGGCAAGAGAGAAAGACACCCGAGACTTTGCAACAATGATGAACCCTGTGTTCTTTCAAAAATTCGCAGCAAACATCTGCCCCGAATCTCATCAGTGTTCACTGTTTTTTTTTGATGACGATGTCGTGAACTTCGCCTAATTCAACTGATTCAACGTTGGACGTTCACACGTTCACATACCAACAATGATTCGATCTGCCATGGTTTTGCTATATTTTTTTGTCCAAGTTTCTGAGGTGATCGAGGAACCCAGACTCACTGCTAAAATAGCGGTTACCTGAGCGGTAGAAAGGATTGTGAATAAACGAACAAAACCATAAAATTCATGTTTGATCCATGTGCGAGTGCGATGTCTTTAGATTGTGCGACGCCTCTAGATAGAAATTTGTTCGCCATCAAACACCAAACCAAACCATTTTTTTGCATTCGAGTCTCATTGGACACATCTTCGCACGGATTGTCTTTGATCAGGTGGTGGCACCCACTTGTGAGAAGCGGGATGGGACGTATCCAGCCCATGCCTGGCTTCAAATGCCCTGCAAATTGTGAATAAGGTCTGAAAACATTGCACAGAATACAATACATTCCAAATTCGATTCCGCATTTTGAATCATGGAACTGTTTTGACGTCTATTAAATCTGGAATTCATGCATGGTCAAGCCGGCATGCCTATGGAAAATGTTCGGTGCAAATTGAACGTATTTTTTCATACACTAAAGAAACCTGGAGATGACACACATTGGCACGGGGATATCCAATACTTGCATTTCCCCGACGTCACTTCGTTTCCCATGGATTTGGGATTCCCATGTGCCTTCCTCGAAGGTGGGCGCCTAAATCTTCAATTCCACCTTTACTGCACCAACCGCATTGACATTGCCACCCCATGTGATGCAAGTGAAAGGGCAAATGAGCAACATGACACGGTTATGTTTTGATATTATCCAAAATGTGATTTGTTTTTGCATTTGACACGATATTTTTGAACATGAATGGTGCATTGAAAGGATTAATTTCGCAACTTGTCATAGACCTGAAATACAAGAATCACAAGAAATATGAAAGTATAATAGCCATTGTTGCAGTCTCAAAGACAATAAATAGTCACGTTATTGTTCCAAACACCATTCGTTTCATACAATTTGTACAATTTTATTCACACTTGCAGTTTGCATGTTTATCTTGTTCCGTTGCTAAACCAAATGTTTAGCGAAAACCATGTGAACATGACCATCCACCAAACCATAACCACCAATTGCTTCCCAAAAAACAATCCAAACGGGGCAACTAACACTATATTATATATTTATCCTCTTTGAAAACGCTGGTGCCAGAATGTTGCAGCAAATTGCAACGTACCAATTCGACATCGAAGATTGCAAAAGCTGACAAATACTGTAAAATGAACAACTGGAAGCAAGCAACGTGGCACTCTTGTTTTAACCGTTGGGCACGACTCAGGCCTGTGGTTCAGGCTGTGGGTTTGGCAGCAAAAAGAAAATGGAGCGAACTGAGGAAATGGATCTTTGACATCCTGAATCCACGTGTGAGTGAGTCAAGCGCCGGGTGGGTCAATGTCCTTGTTGCGAATGAGGGTGGGGCGCTTGAAACACTCACACAAAAAGAAACATGTTGCATTGACATCCATTGATTGTATTGCATCCAAACATGACATGTCATTGAAATCTGTCAGATGAAGAACATGTACAAATCCAAATGGAGAAAGCTCTGAATCGCTTGAACCAGACCAGCTGTGTTGCAATCAACACTTTCTGCACAGGATAAGTCGCAATCAAGTGTGACAGCTTGATTATCCTCTTTGAAAACGCTGGTGCCAGAATGTTGCAGCAAATTGCAACGTACCAATTCGACATCGAAGATTGCAAAGGCTGACAAATACTGTAAAATGAACAACTGGAAGCAAGCAAGGTGGCACTCTTGTTTTAACCGTTGGGCACGACTCAGGCCTGTGGTTCTCCCCACTTTCGCGCCAGTGCCTGATGTCGCGCCCAACAGTCAACCACATCCAACTCATCCTCTGTCGCCCCCAACGCACGGACTTTGGAACTGTCCTGTCTTGATGGACCATCCGAGTGGTTAGAGTCAGTCGGTACTCGTGCGTACCAAGGGGACACTTGATGTACAGTCTCCAGTGCAACTGTAGCCACCAACAAACCTCTCGCAACTCTATTGCTTGTACTGCAAGAAATGAGGGCATCTCGCACTGCGTTATTGTCAGTGTAGAAGACTGTCTCTGTTCTCAAACGATCTCCCCAAATCAGGAAGGCACAAAACAAAGCAAAGAACTCGCATTCATAGATGGCTGTCTTTCGAGTTTCAGGATTCATTGGCTGTAACAAATCAGCATCAAGGCGCTGAGAGAAAAACCTCACTGGCCTTCCATTCTCATTGAAAAGCACGGCACCAATCCCTGCAAAAACTGAGTCGCCGTCAGGTTCATAGCAGGCATCTGTTTGAACAAACCACGGCCTGCCCCTCGCAGGTTTGAGTTCACGAGGCCTCCCATCCAACAAGAGACTCCTGTGCAAAGTCAAGGCCAGAATTGCCTTCTGGTCCAACCTAGGGCTGTGGCTGTGGTATGCATGTTGTGTAATGACAGCCAATGAGGCCCTTGCTATCCGTCCAAAGACATTGCCTGCAGCGAACTGCAGTCTTCCACGCAACCTCAAGGCTTCCGCCTTTTGTAACACCTGCGTTTCAATCAAGGCTTCCAAAAGCTCAACCAATTCCTTTCTGCGGCTCTCAGTGTTTCCAACCATGACCAAACCTCGATGGAATTGGGACACATTGATGCTTACTCCCAAAGCGCTGAAAAGCTCTGCAAACTCTGGCGCCTTCTCACCAACCTCCGCAAACTGCCAGCCAACAAGTTTGAAGAACATGTGCATGCAAGATTGCACGGAGGATGCCTCCTTTGATGCTGCAATCGACACAAAATCGTCGAAATAATTTGTTGTTAAGATCAAAAGATCTTTAACCAGCACATACCACAAACTGTGACTGAACCGCAAAAACGCATGGACAGACCTGATTGCCCCAAATGGCAGGGCTCTCATACGAAAGCCAAAGAGCCCAGATGTCAATGGGCACCTCACGACAATATGAGCAAACTTCTGAGATGAAGGCCGAACAGCACATTGTCGGTAGGCTCCGACTAGGTCGAACGTGCGACCGACCCAGGGTGAGTCCGTCTCGACCTCCGTCATGGTCTGAATGCACATTGCAGCAAAGACGTCGAGAGTGTGAGGTTTCGGACTCTCGCAGGACTGCACTGTGGCGTTCACCGACGACCTTGAGAAATCGTCTATACATCTGATCTTGTGCCCCTGCTGGATGCCAAACCGCCTGCTCAGCGGGACATCAGGAGCAATGTCAACAAGAGGGATTGGTCCCTCGAGAGCTCCTGACTGTACTTCTTCCAGGGTCTTTGACCAAACTGTCTCTGAAAATTCATCTGAGCCACCTCGTTGAAACTGGTCATGTATGCCATTCCGCTCCATTGTGGCAATGTTGCAAAGCTCATCAACACTGATGCTGGCTGGCTGGAATCTGGCCGGCCATAAACCTGTCCTCTCAACGCATCCAACCAAATCTGTTCCTTCCACAAACTCATCATGACCTGCTGGTCTGGGTAGTCTACCGACTTCAGCATCGCCTTCCACAGCAACACATTCTTCTGTCCAATGACCTTGAGCACTTCGCTGTCTATTTGCTGCTTCAACGCTGCTTCGTCCTCTTTCAAAGAGACCAGCATCCTCAACCAATAGCCCAGCCTGGACGCACGGTATGCCATGCGCTCATGCACATCCATTGAACTGTATCTGCAGATTGTATCATTGAGAACTGCAGGAAGGCCAGACTTCAAGGAGGCTGGGTGTCCAAATTCCACCATCTGCTTTGCAAACTGCTCTTCCGTCCAGGGCACTCCCCACAGTTGGGTCTCAGTTGGCCCAGCTTTCACATATGGCTGGGTCCCACACGCATTGACGATCCGATCAATATCTGGTTGTTGCAGATGCTGCTCGGAAACAAAACCCCCCCCCTGTAGACAAGATTCGGGCAGCATGGAAGGAGAAATGTGAAGCAACTTGGAACCTTTAGGCAAAACAGTAGGTGCATTTGTTGTAAGCACCTTCAATGGTGATGTACACTTTTTATGCAAATCCCATTGTGGAAGATCCATCTGATACCCTGTCAGTGCGACCTTTGATGCATAGGTCGGTATCAGTGGTGGGAGCTTCGAGGCTTTCGACTGAAGCCCTGTCTGTGCCCTCAACGCTGGCAAGGTAGCAAATTCTTCATTGTTGAGGTGTGAAATTGTTTCGGGGGGCATTGCAATGCCTCTTCGCTGCAACGCAAGGACAAACGCAGCGGCAATTCGTCTTGCCAGCGCCATGGGGTACGCTGTTTCTAAAGCTGTTGCAAACTGCTGAGTGGGTTCAAAAATGCCCCACTTGTCGTGCTTGTGGTCTGCTGAGACTCCAGGACACATTCCATTAATTGTCGAAAATTCATCTGCATTGAAGGCAAGCATCGTACGCTTTGGACGCTTTCCGCCGTATCGGCAACTCTGAAAAACAGTAAACTTCAGCATGTGTAAAATTGATTGCATAAACGTTGTCTGCCAGAAAAAACTGTATTGTGGATTCTCGATACATATCAAACATCCATGTTCCACTGCCCATTTGACAAGTTCACTCGTCAAGTGATAAAGTTTGTTGGCCTTGGAGATCTTGATGCGATCTGAAAAAGGCAAGTGAGGAATCCCGTTTGGGAACTCGTTTGACCGCAACGGCTTTGGCGGCACAGGATCTCCAGGGCGCTTACGTTTCAAAGGGATTGCTCTTGCCCTGCTTGCTGAACCGCATGGAGGCGCCAGGAAAATGCCAACCACATTGGGATTGGAAAGCCACTGCATTAACAACTCAACGCCAGCTTTCGAGGTCAGGTCTGCTATTGCAATCTGGGCCATCGCGTGCTTGTGTCGAATGTGATCAGTGCCAAATGCACTAAGGACCCCAAACTGCTTTAGGCAGGCCGTGACCCTTGCAGTACCTGCAAAAATCTCCACCACAAGGCAATCCTGTAGAGCCGCACCGGAGTCGATCATGGCCCCGATGCGGTCAAATTGTCACTTCTTCTTATTGTCGTGCTCCTTCTCCGGGTGAGGGGCGTAACAACCCTTCCTGCAGCACAAATGCCACCCTCTTGTACATTCTCCTCCATCGGGAGCTTCAGAGCACTTCCCAACCTGATAGTTGAAGCACAGGCGTCTTCCATGCAAATCCATGTTTGTGTTGTCACGTCCAAGCAAAAACTTCGGCATGATGCCCTTGCTGCCTTTTGATTTGCCTTTGCCATGCCCATGTCCACCTTTTCCTTTGTATGGCTGAGGGCGTGCTCCATGCCAAGAGCCTTTTGCACCATAGTTACCGCCCTGGGGCGCCGTGGACTGGGTCGAGGGCTTTTTTTTTTCCTCGAGTTTGGCCGATGTCGCTCTGAGGCTCGGTCCTTACATGAGCATAAGCAGTGAAAAAAAGTTGTACAAAGGACACAGTTGGTCCATATAGACAGGCAGATCAAACCACAGCGGCAACAAAAAACAAAACCCACCAACACACGACGACCCGCAAATCCCCCAGCCAGACTTGCGTTTCGTCAGAGAACGCGGAAAACAAAACCAAACAACCAAACCAAACACAAACAAACGGGGCCGAAGCCCAAACAGTGGACTGGGTCGAGGGCTGTTGCACTTGTTGCGGCATGCCTTGGGCAAAGGCAGAAGATGAAATCCAACTTCATAGGACTGTAAGGCTTGGAACAGCTGGGAGTCAAGGTCCAGCTTGTTGTCAGGGAGCCGCTTCAACTGAGCACCAATCCTTAT